GGTGGCTCGGCAGCCCCCAGCCCCGCCCTGCGGCCAGGCACACATGCGGGCACGGGCAGGGGCGCCAGGAACTGAACTAGGGGACACAGCAGCTTCAGGAACACTGGTGAATTCCGCCGGACTCGCCGGGACGCGGCTCTTTGGAAAACGACCTAATCTTTGGGAGAACGCCCCTCTGCCTGGGGGTCTCCTCTTGATTTCCCTTTGCTCTTCAAAAGATTAAAAACAAAAACAAAACAGAAAAAAAGAATCACACATTTTTCGGGAGGAGGTGTTCTTCACACGCCCAGAGGCTGCCTGGGCCCCGCCGTCACGGGACCCTCTCGGTGAAGTTCTCGGGGAAGACCCCGCGGCACTTCTCCAGCTCCTTGTGCTGGTTCCAGTCGCTCTCCTTCACGCCCATCAGCCAGCCTTCATCCTGAGGGGCAGAGCACCGGGTCGCACAGGCATGAGCAAGGGGCTCCAACCCACAGGGCACGCATCCCACTCCAACCTACTGGGAAGACGGCCCCTCCTGCTGCTGTTCTTGGCCCCTTAGCCTGCCAAGCCCACCTTGAGAACACCTCCTCCAGGCAGCACTCCCCGATGCTGCTGGCTGAGGCTCCTGCCCACAGGCACTACAGGAGCTGGCCTGTCGTCTGCAGGTGGCTGGTTTTGGTGAGTCCCACTGCTCTCTGGTCTGACTGTCTAAACAACTCCTTCAATACCGGTCAAGAGGCTCCCCACCCCTGGGTGCACGCAGAGCACATCAGCCCTTCCAAGCTTCCAGGCTTCTCAAACCACCCCAGAGTGTTTTGGGAGTGACAAGTTACAAGTTCTAGAGGGACTCAGGGCCACCCCACCAGTCCCTCCAATTTCGAATTGCCCTTTGCTTCAATCCTGACCCCCGCAGGGCTTCTCCAGGCCCCAGGCGGGTGACGGGGAGCTGCGTGGCCATCCCCTCCTGACAGTGGCTGGTCCGAGTCTGTCCCTGCAGCTGGGCTGTGCCTGGGGCCTACCTGGGTCTTTGTTATTTCCCTCTGTCATTGTCAACCTCGTCACAGACCTTACTCGTGCCCTATCTGAGCCCCTTCCAGCACCCCAGGGCAACTCCCACTGTGGGCTCTGGGTAGGAGTCTGCTTGAAATCCTACCCAGCCAGGGCTGGCCCACTGGGAGGTCCATGAAGATCTGGGGGCGTAGGAGAAAGAGCCGAATCAGTGCCAGGCCCAGGAGGTCCTCATCTCTCCAGCCTCCTGCCCCAGACCTCAGTAAGTACCCGGTACCCCTGCATCCCAGCCCAGGACTCCCAGCAGGGTTGGCCTCATCCAAGACCCAGCCAGACCCACTGTCACCCTCAGCGGCTCTGATAACCCATTCATACAGATGCATTGACGGCTAAACATGTTCTCTGGAAGCAGGAAGAGGCCGGCCAGGCCCTCTGTGCGCAGCCCGAGGTGCTCAGGGGCTGAGCCATGGAGGGAGCCGGATGCCCACCTGCACCACCGACCCCCCCCATAAGCAAAGCTGGCGCTACACAGCAGGGAGGCTCCTGCCAAGAGTCCACGGCCCCCTGGGCGGGGCAACTGACCCAGATCCAGGAGGGACACACTTAGCACCCGCCCAGGCTCAGCAGGAGCCCTCACTTCCAGGAGATTAACACAAAGCCACAGCAGGAAGAGAAGGGTCTGGAAGGCATCTTGGGTGAGCCTCAGCTGGGGACACAGCTGGGAGACCCATGGCCCTGCGTGGACAGGGCAAGCCCGCCTCGAGGGGCGGCATACGGGGCTTCATGAGCCCAACCAGTGCTCCAGCCACCGCGGGGTGGGCACCTTGTGGGCGTGGCAGGAGGAGTCAAGCATCCTGCCTCGGGCACGCCGCCAGGAGAGAAGGCGAGAGACAGAGGCAGAGCTGAGAGCGCCTGAGCAAAGCGGGAC